ACATATACTTTCTTAGGTTAACAGCATCTACTTTAGTAAGTTAAACCCAATGTTCGCACAACTTGGTCAAAGAGTGCTCTGTAATGCCTTAGAATCATCAGTATTCATCAGTATTCATGTAAAATGAAGACTAGGGGCAGATATATCATTGGTAAGTCTAGCAAATAAAATAACATACCTTGAAGTTATGTTACTCGAGGAGGACTACGATATAGTAGGAATAGCAGAAACATGGTTAGACCGCACACATGATTGGGCTACTAACATAGAAAGGTACAACCTGTTCAGGAGGGACAGGCTGTCAAGAAGGGGGTGGGGGTGGGGTATGTATATAGGCTAAAAATAACCTCATTATGCACATCCGTGACGATATCGCGTCAGCTGGTGGGGATGATGTGGAATCGTTATGGCTAGAACTCGATAGCACGAACCCTAACCGTAAACTTATTGTGGGTGTCTGTTATAAACCTCCAAATATAGAGGAAGAGGAGGAGGCCCACCTACAATCCCAAATAGAAATAGCGGGGAAACAGGGTAATGTTGTGGTAATGGGAGACTTCAAATACCAAAGCATCAACTGGGCTAATGGAACTTCCCAATCGGCAAAGGCTGCCCGTTTTCGTAATATGCTGCGAGACAATTTCATGGATCAGATGGTTGAGGTCCCGACGAGGGAAAATGCCATCCTAGATCTGATCATCAGCAATAATACAGAGTTAATCAACGATATTGTAATCGGGGAGACACTGGGTAATAGTGATCACAAGGTGATTGCTTTTAATATTGGGTGCAAGAAAGGGAAAGGTGATGGGCAGACGAGAAGCCTAAACTTCAGGAAGGCTAACTTTGATAAACTACGCAACATAGTGGGTGAAATCGAATGGGAAAACTTATTTGATAAACTAAACTTTGACCAAAAGTGGGACTGTTTCAATAACAAATAAAAAAATGCTATAACCGGGTGTATACCGCTGGGTAACAAAAGTAAAAGATCAAAAACAAAGCCAATATGGCTAAATAAAATGGTAAAACAATACATTAAGGAAAAAAAAGTAGCATTTAGTAAGTATAAAACGGAGGGGACAGTATTGGCATTCCAAAACTACAAAGAATGTAACAAAATATGTAAACTGGTAGTCCGGGCAGCTAAAATTGAATGTGAGAAATATATCGCCAAAGTTAGTAAAAAGAACCCCCAAAACATTTTTCAGTACATAAACAGTAAAAAGGGGAGAAAGGAACAGATAGGCCCAATAAAGGACATAAATGGATTGTTACTCACAAACGACAGGGAGAGGGCCGAGGCGCTAAATACTTTCTTCTCGTCGGTATTCACCGAGGAAACAGACGGGTTTAATGTACATGATAAAACACACAATTTAACAAGAAATACACCTGAGTGGTTGACTGAAACTGGGATACAACATAGGCTTAAACTACTGAATGCAAATAAAGCATTAGGACCTGATAATCTACACCCCGAGGTACTCAAAGAACTAAACAAGGAGATAACGAGACCATTGCTCCTCATTTTTAAGGAATCCGTAATGGCTGGTAGAGTACCAAGCGACTGGCGAAGGGCTAATGGGGTACCTATATTCAAAAAAGGGTCAAAATGCCAAACCAGGGAACTATAGACCAGTTAGTCTGACATGCATAGTATGTAAACTGTTAGAGGGAATTATTAAGGATTACTTAGTGGAATTCGTCAGGGATCAGGGCATAATAACTGATATGCAGCACGAATTTAAGAAGGATCGTTCTTGCCAGACCAACCTGTTGACCTTTTACGAAGAGGTAAGTAGAGATCTGGATGGGGGGAGGCCGGTGGACGTAGGATATCTGGACTTTTCGAAAACATTCGATACGGTGCCACATAAACACTTGTTATACAAGCTAAGGTCTATTATGGGCATAGAGGAAATTGTGTGCACGTGGATAGAAAACTGGCTACAAGAACGTGCACAAAGAGTATCAGTTAATGGCACCTTTTCAGACTGGGCTGAAGTCATGAGTGGCGTGCTCCAGGGTTCTGTGCTGGGCCCCATGCTTTTTAACCTATTTATTAATGATATCGGGTAGGGAGTGAGTACCCATGTCTCAGTGTTTTCTGATGATACGAAAATCGGGAGGGTAATAGACACGGATTCAGACATTGTAACATTACAGGAGGACCTGGAGAATATCGGGGAGTGGGCAACTGTATGTCCAGGTTAGGTCACCGATACTCAGAAAAGATGTCCTTGAGCTGGAAAAAGTCCAGAGGAGGGCAACCAAACTTACTAAGGGGTTTGAGGACCTGAACTATGAAACAAGGTTGTTAAAATTAAATATGTTCTCTTTGGAGGTTAGGAGATTAAGGGGGGACATGATCTTCTTGTATAAACTATTCAAGGGTGACAGCAACATTATCAACAAACTGTTTACGGTTAGCTCCATAACAAAGACCAGAGGGCACAACCAAAAATTGCAAGGGGTTCTTCACAGTCAGAGCGGTTAAGGTCTGGAACTCGCTGCCGCAGGAAGTGATCTCAGCTAAGAGTGTGGAATCATTCAAGAAACTCCTGGACGAGTTCCTCGGAGACCATAATATACAGGGGTACAGGTACGCCTAAGAGCAAAATCGCACATGGACTAATACAGGCGCACACACCTGCTCAAACATAAATACACACAATAGGTTGGACTTGATGGACTTATGTCTTTATTCAACCTCAAATACTATGTAACTATGTAACTATCCTCATACATGCCAATTTTACCTGGATTCACAGGATTTGGCTGCTGTTCAGGCTTCTTGTACCCCCATATTTATTAAACTGCTGACAGTTCCCTGTCATATAGAAGAGTAAAATTATGAAAAAGTCACACAGTTGCAAATCCATTGCCTTTCAGCATATCAATCTTTGAATTATTAATCTTGATTAGTCCAAGTAAGTACAAATTATGCCTGGTAGCACAGTTCAATATTAACCCTTTTTCATTTACAATTTACATTTTAATTTACAGTTTATTTAATAATTTTTTTTAAGCTATTCATTTTGTTTAACCAGAAACAGCCATTATATTGTCTTGTTTTTTGCAACCCAAGCCACATGGATGTTATGTTTTTTTCTTGTGTCGTTATTTGTAATTCACCAAAGTGAAACAAAACTAGTGAAGTGTTGGGACCGCTGATGTGCATATCATTGTTCCAATTCAGAGATTTATTAGGCACTTAAGTCATGAAAAGAATGACAGTTATCTTGTTTACTTTCATAAACAAGATGGCAACAGCAGCACCCATTGGTTGGAAACAAATTTGCAGACTTCTCTTTGACTTTGCAGATCTTGATGACTTTTATGGGTCACAGGAAAGTCAGGAAATCACCAGCGCTCAGTACTAAAGATAAATATGTCCCTTTTATTGGACAGAAAGCATCACAGACATCCAAATAAACCGACGTTTCGGGGCCGCGCAGGGTCCCTTCCTCAAGGCAGAAAGATGTGACCTTTTATGGGTCACAAACTCAGAACTAGGGATGAGCTCAGGTTCAGACCAAATCCATTTCAGAACACGGAAGGAGCTCCTCCGAACAAGAAAGGAAGCTTCTTCTGCTGCCGCCCAATTATCTGTGGCCGGGAAATTCCCCACCTGCAGTTGCACATAAGCAAAAGGGTGGGGTGCAGTGATGTCACTGACCTTATATTATATAATAATGACATTGACCAAATATGGCCATATGGCCACATCAGGTCTATGATGTCAGCTCAACATCCTGCTCCTTTGATCATGTGCAGCTCTGCAGTTGATTGGACACTTCTGTGTTTAGAGGAGCTCAGGTTTGGACCGGGTTCAGTTTGAACTTGAGTTTATTCCTTTCTCAGAATGTATTGAAGCCAGGGGAGACAGCAGAACAGCAAGGCAATTTGCATTTTCAGAAGGTCAATAAAGGTGGTCACTGGTGGTCTAAAGACAAACTTACTTTGATTTTTATAGAATGCCTAAGTGCTTTCTATACAAGGATACATAGAATACTACTTACAATATAAAAGCTGACATCAGTGTAGCTTAAATGTGAAACTTTACTGAACTGCATAAAAATGTGTTCTGCCTTTTAATTTTTAAGTATTGGCATAACCTTTTATACAGTATTAATAAATGAAACCCTGTAAATTTGTGTATGCAATATTACATGCTAGAAAATGTATCTTAAAGCAGAACTCCAGCCAAAAACAACAAGATAAAGATGAATAGCCAGTTAAAGATAACAGAACAAAACCAGCTAGTCCAGATGGCCAGCATTATTCTATTTACTTACTCTGAACCTGGGTTGTTGTAAACTTGCCCCAGCCTGTGACTGGACAGTGAACGGAGAAGCAGCACAGTGATTACTCATCACTCTGTCACTCTGCTTTCTCTTCCTATCAGCACCCTTCTGGTCATCAGATAAAATGACTGGCTCCCTGTAGTGCTCCTTCTTTTCCCACTATGAGCTCTGCTGTACAAGGACTGCAGGACCTGATAGCAGGTCAAATTCAGATACTTACACTGCGAGCATTTAAAAAAAATGCATCTAATGATGCTTTAATGATAACAGAGTTGTATTGATTTGTGTCTTTAATATCAGTTATGCTTTATAAATGTCAGTTGTAATATTGTATTGCTTTATGTTGTTTGGACTCTGCTAGTTTATGAAATAATATGTAAAAATACCACTATGGCTTAGAAAACCATCTATATCTTGCAGAAATGACTATACTGTAGTTTTACGAGAACAACTCTCCTTTACCTTTTAGCCTACCTGTCAATTTAAAGAAGTTCCTTCTTTCCACTGGGAGAGAAGCGGTTAAAGGTGTGTGAGTAGCAGACCTGCCTGTACACCAGTTCTCAGGGAATTGTGCAGTTCTCCAACTGCTGACCAGCCTTGAGGGGAGGATTTGTCAGTGTGAAAGTGGGCAGAGCTGGATTCTAATCATTAATCCCAGGAGCGCCATTACCAGACAACAAAGAGGTGAAAAAGTGAAGAACACTGTGCTGCTGTACATAGGACGCTTCCAGTAAATAGACACCTGTCAACATTCAAAGAACAAGAAAGAAAGAAGGTGAGTGTGCTAGATTAAAAGAGGGAGACTATTTGACATATTGGATAGATGCAGGATAGAAAAGTAATAGTTTATATAACAAAATATATATATATATATATATGTGTGTGTATATATATATATATATATATATTAAAGACAAAAAACTTGATAAAAATCATATACAGTATTCACGAAAGATTATATACATTATAGGATTTTGCACATACATAAAAGCTGGTAGGGAGATGGGACAAACAGGCACATGCACGGAAAGCAGTTATTAGACAAGATCTGAAAAGTGAGAAGTGACAATATTGATATCAGAGAACAATCAGAAGACCAATATTTGATATTAATGTTTATATGGAATGTCGTGACACTTTGCAGACACAGGAGTATTAAGGGGCAAGTGAGAATTATTACATATTCATTGCAATGCATGATACAGATATTAATTTGGGTTTGCAGTAACTTCTGATCAGTTGCAAAGTTTGTTAAACATTGTTTGTTAAACTGTGATAGAAAGGTTGAAGCGGAGTAAGGTACAAGATCAAGATAAGAAGGGGAACATGACAAAGAGCAAGAAAAAAGAAAAGAAAAGAAAAGTATAGACTTGTTTAGCTTTTAGGTAACTTGGGTATAGATGTAATGTTGGGCCTTACAATAACAAAATGACTAAAAGAACAACTGTTGTATTACCCATAACTAAAGTACTTTAAAACATATGCAGCTCTATATCAAACCATAACGGCAATTCTGCAATTAATACAATTTTGATTCACTTGATTAATAACTTTAGTATTTAAAAATAAATTAAAACCTCTGAAATAAAAGATAGGGGAGGTGTTACAATTATTTAGATGCTCTTTTTATTGTTCTAGCCTGGAAGTGCAACATAATAGTGTAAATCATGCTGGTTCATAAGCAAAATATATTTATTTTATCCAGGCTCAGTAGATAATAATTTAATGTGCAGTTGGCCTCAGCTATCAAGGTGTGTTCACATACTAAGGTATGACTGGTTGCCTTAGGTTACTCCATATAGCTCAGTTTTGTACCATTTTTCATGGTAAATATTCAAATTCAAATTCCGTTTTTATTATTTTTGGACCCGTTCAAAGTTCAGTGCAGCCTGCAGTATACCTGTTACTACATTTGCTAAAGAAACGTATTTTACAGACGTGGAGGAAGCATAAAAGAGGGGTCATGACCCAGAACACCCTATCCTTTTTTTCTACCTTTTTGTTCTGGTGTAGAGTTGAAAATGGAATCTAAATTGTTGCTATGAGTAACCCCCTTTATTTTCCTTATCTTTTCCTGTACGGTACTTCAATATTAAACTTCTGACCATCTGGAAAGTTTTTTTATACATAATTTATATCAGAGGTCTTCAACTCAAAAGTCATATGTGACTCTCAGCTAATTTGCTGTTAAAATATTTAAAATTTTTATCAAGTGCTGTGTTTTCATATATAGTCTTCTGAATCAAGGCCTCTGATTTCTATTATTATTAGTAGTATATCTGTGAGCACGTATTGCAGATTGTATTAGTATTTCCTTTCTAAGATCGTTCATTCAAAACACTGATCAATTATTTAGAGCAGAAAAGCCAGAACGGATCAAATTTAACAAGCAAGCGTAAAGCATATCTATGACATAGGGTAAGTGACTGCTAAGATTGGTATAAGTGGAAAGCAGAAAAAATATTAAGAACCCATTCACACCTCACCTGTACATTGTGGCAACACATGCCAAAACGTGTTGCCATAATGAATGACAACGCACCTGCTCTATGTGCAGTGCACTGCTACACTATGCATTGTACAGTAGGGCACAATGCACCACAGCACACCACAACATATATTCCATGTGTTGTGGTGCACTGTGTTCCTTCCCACTAACCATACACATATATCTGGCCACATGGTGGATCGCCTTCATTGCTGGGCTGCTGCATATATGCATACAGTTGGTGACACTGTTCTGTGCAGAATGTGCACTCACTTAGCACCCCCAGTACAGGGACCATGCTGTCACTGACAGCTCCCAGTCACTGTTTACACTCAGGGGCTGGTGGGAAGGGCTCTTAATCATGTGATTACTGTGATGGCCAATCACACATGATTGGGAAATTTGCCTGTGATTCCCAGTGTTAAGGACCCCATATACAGCCTACAGCAAAGGGTTAAAAAAAGGGTCATGCGTGCTTGTTCATCTATTGTGGAGCATTTGCAGCCCATTCATAATGAAAGGCCTGCCTTAAAGCAACCAATGTTAACGTGAACCATAAAACGCATTAACACGTTTGCAGTAATGCACTACAACGAAATGCTTAAGTGTGAATTGGCCCCAAATGTGGGCGAGTCAGCACGCTGAAAAGTAAAGAGGTAAAGAAACAGCGATAAGATGTGAAGCAAAACCAAGAACAATATAAAAGATAGTGATGGAGAGAGCAAATAGAAAGGGTGTGATAGAAAGGTTGAAGTGGAGTAAGGCACAAGATCAAGATAAGAAGGGGAACATGACACAGAGGAAGCAAAATAAAATAAAAGATAGACTTGTGTAGCTTTAGGGTAACCTGGGTATCGACGAAACGTTGGGCCTTACGATTAATAGGGACTAAAAAAAGGACTGTTGTACTTACTCATAACTACAAATCATGCTCTTCATTTCATTTCCATATAACTAGAAACATGAAAATAAGTTTTTAGGAGTAACATTCAGTTTTTTTTCTTCAGAATCTTATGATTGTGGCACGATTCCATAAATACAATGGAATTTGGCTAGTTCATCAGTGGAAATAATATATATACTGTATATAGCAATGTTTGCTTTCTAGCCTGTTATTCTACGGTGACAATTTGTAAACTTTTCCTTTTAATGGAACAGATAATACAGAATTGAAAAAAATTAACTCTTTTCCATTTATTGGGGTATTTGTGGGGACCTTATACCTGCCTATGGCACCACTTGTTCACTCACAATATATATTCACTGCAGTTAAAGTGACACTAAACTCAGGAGTTAAATCTTAAAAATACATTCAAGTATCTTAACTATTAACCAAAATGTATCTTATTTGTGTATCACTCGGCTGTAGATCCTCAAATCATCTCTGAATTCATGCTGACACTGTCCTTCCTTCTGGAGGGTGACTAACTGACAACGTTTGTTCCCATGCTCCCTGTGTGTGTTGTAAAGTAGCCACCGATCCAAGTTCACTACCGTGATGGACTACAATCTCACGTTCAGTTAGCTAATTTGAAGTTATAGTCCATCACGGGTGTGAGCTTGGAGTGGTGGCTACATTACAACTAGGGATGTCCCGATGCCACTTTTTCAGGCCCAAGTACAAGTACAAGTACATCCCCTCATGTACTTGCCGATACCAATTACCGATACTTTTTCTTAAAGGGACAGGTGACTTTAAATGATACATAGTACAACTACATGTTATGTACTATGGATCATGGTTTAACCTATTCATGTTAGCAGTGGAGAATTGTAACTCTATTGCTGGAGTGTAGTGGAGGTGTGTGCTGTATATATGCACTACATATACATTACACACGTCCAGTACACTATAGCAATAGATTTACAGCCAGCCCCGTCCCAGCTTACCTTACTCACAGTTTCACTCCGATCCCCGTAGCCTCACGCGGTGCCTCTTGTAGTCGGCGCTGGGCAGGATCGCTGCATCGCATCTCGGTGCTCAGCTTGTGGGAGGCGCTCACAATTCTGCCCTGCTAACATGAATAGGTTAAATCATGATCCATAGTACATATACAGCACATACGTCCCGTACACTGCAGTAATAGTTACAATTATCCCCTGCTAACATGAATAGGTTAAATCATGATCCATAGTACATAACATGTAGTTGCACTAAGGATCATTTAACCTATTCATGTTAGCAGGGGATTATTGTAAATCTATTGCGGCAGTGTACGGGACATTTGTGCTGTATATGTACAGTACATATAGATATACAATTCT